TAGAATCAATGCATATATATTTTTTCTTTTGAAAACGTAAGAAAAGGAAATATTTGTATATAATAGCTAACATAACGTACAATCTAAACGTAATCACTAAAAAGCATAAAAGAACATTTTAACTATCCGAACTTATGCCTATGATCAGTAATTAGGGTAAATTATATTCCTATAGAACATCAAGCCCCGAAAACTCTAAGTTTTCTAAGAAACAATGGTAAACATGCTTTTGGCTAGTAGTGTGATATATATATGATTATCTATATCATTTTTAGCTCTATCTCTAAGATGCCTTTTTTCGTTTCATAAAAATATTTCGTTACAGTCACTATCACTAAAAATAAAATGGCTTCAAAGAATCGACGTCCACAATCTACAGATAATAATACAAGATTGTTGCAAAATAATATTCTCTGCCAATATGGAACAGAGTGTCATGCGTTTAATCGATTAATGCAAAATGGTTATCGAACGGATGATATTGAACATTGTTCCATTTACTTTCATCAAGGACGAAGATGTGGAATTACTGTAAACGAAAACTTCGGATCGAGAAGATTTATTTCTGCTTATCTACACTGGGATGAAAGTTATAGTGCAAATCGTCGTATCACTTTCTGGAATGGAAAGGTGAGTGAAGGTGACCTTGTAAGAGAGCTTGAGATCAATGGTTTTGGCCATGTGATGGAACTCAGTACTGGCGTATTTAAAAGCTTAGATGAAGTTGTTCGGGAACAGCTTCGAGATCCAAGACATCAGCAAATAGGTTCGCCACTTTCGTATGATCAAATGCTCTCAATTATTCTATACACAAGTACTGATGTTTATGCTGATTTGCGCCGGGATGAAATTTATTATTTTGTCCAAAATTTTGAAAAGATTAATTCTGTTGGAAAAAGAGATTATAAAAGTCAAAAGTGGCCTGTATTTGGAAAAGTTCTAAATACAGCCATTTGTTGTTTAAACGACTCTGACAATAGTTATCGTCCTAAAACCGTCTACCATGGTCTTCAAAACATCGAAATTGATCCTGCCACATTTAATAATCATGGGCCAGTACCCGAGCTAGCAAAGCACCATCATTTTAGATACGGTACATTCATAAGCACATCATGGGATAAACAAGTAGCTCTATCTTTCAGGGGTGACAAAGGATCTTTATTAGAAATTGACACCACTGATACACTTGTAAATCATACCTGGAAATTAATTGGCGCTGATGTTTCATGGATATCAAAATTCCCTATCGAATGTGAATTCTTAATGACAAGAGGTGCAGTATTTCAAATAGAAAATATAAATTTCGACAATGAACAAAACTGTCAGGTTGTTAAAGTGAGTGCAGGATATGGTTCGCACAGGGGAGAAAGTTTTTCATGTACCAATCATTGTGGCTACTGGTGTAATTGCGCGACCACGCCCAGTGATCACTTATAATGTTCCTCAATGCTTTTTATTTGACACTGTATTAAATCTTAATTTTCGTCAAAAATGAGACGTTACGTATTGTTATTGATTAAGCTCTCTATACATTGATTAAGCTCATATATACATGTATATCTTTCTTTTCTATTGACTCGGTAAAGTCGAAAAAATGTCCGCACGTGAGATATCTTACGTGAAAGAAAATATCTCCTTATTTGCTAGTTCTCTAGTGAAATATCTGAATCGATGCAGGTTTTTGGGTTCTATGCAAATGTATCGTTGAATTTGTAAATAAATCCAATAAAGCACATTTAAAGGTTGTAGTCGCTCTTTATCTTGGCAAAAAAAAATGAAAATGAATTCTTAACTTCTTAGATCTCAAAACTACGTGTTTTACTGATTGAATAAGAGTCGACTCCTCTTTTTCAAAGCAAACTTTTGCTTTCGAATTGACCATAGTCTAAAACAGCGGGACGTTTGGACTAAAAATAAGATCACCATTAGCGCTCCACGAACTTTTCTAAAAAAAACTTATGGATTTTCTAAACTATTATTCCAAAAGGTAAAAGACTCACTTTTCTCAGTTTCGGTTGAAAAACGTACCTAGAAAAAGTAACCTATCTCAAATTACCTTTGATCAGAGATGCAAGCGGTATCGATATACCGATACCGGTATACCGGCATTAGTGTGAAGTATAATCGATCGGCCGATACTGCTGGTATTTTGCGGTATGATACGATTTTTTTCAAAAAACATCGTGTAAATTCACGTTCATCTGTGACATATTTCTTCCACTAAAATTTCATTCCAATTACAAAAGCTTTCTCGCCTTATATAAGCTTCTTAATTTAAAAGATTGAAATGGATTGCTGTTTCCTAAAAAGAAGAGCGTGTGAAATATCAGCTATACATAATCAAAGTGAAAGAGTACTCTGTCCCTCTGATAACATAAAATAAAGTTCACAGTAAAATAAAACAAGGAAAAAGTATTTTATTTAAGCAAGATATGATCAAGAGAAGCTGGTACCGACCGGTACCGGTGCCAGTCCGGTCCCGATACGAAGTTTGTATACCTGTATCACATTTTTGACACCGGTTACCCCTGCCTTTAATACACAAAACACTAGTTATTCCCTTCCTATTGCATTACGACTTCATTCATGTTAGTATTTTTCCCATGTTAGCCGCACCTGAATTTTTCTCACTAAATGTCTTTTCATAAAATGTAACGTTCCATAGCTGAAAATATTTATCCCAGATAGAAAAAGATCCTTTTGAAAATAACGTTTTTCGATTGAAATTTCTTAAGGAAGATCCGCATCTAAATTTTTTCCCTTGAAAATTTTTGAATCATATCTGATTCGATGCAGCTTGATGTGCTGATTCCGAACATGTAAATGAGCTTATGGAAAAAAAAAGACTGTTGAGAGAGAAAAGTGAAACTTACACAAAAAAATCTCTATATAAACCCATATCTGGAGAAACAGACGGTGGTGCCATTAGTATGAGTCTGTGATATCTAGCACAGTATTCTTTATTACATTTAATAAAGACCGTACTTATCTCTTTTCTAGAAGTAAAAATTTACTTACTTCGCTTTTTCTACTCAAGAAAGTGAGTTATGAATTTCTTAATTTTAGGCTCTGAATAATTTAGATTCTGGCTTATGTGTAATGGTGGATAGATAAGATATTTGCCTTTCTGTTCTGTTGTTTCTTTGACAAAACAGTTTTGCTGAATGTATGGTCGAATTTCGAAAACTGAAAAGATCGAAAGTGAAAACGCAGAATGGATAAGATCGAAAAGTAGAATGCCGAAAAGGTGAAATGTACAAAAATATTTCTTGCTCATAGTTGTGCTGAGAGATCTACAAATCATATATACAAATCAGAACAGTCATTTGCTGCCCTGTTGCTTTTCATAATAAAGAGAAGTAACATTCTCGAAGAAATTAGATAAAGAACAATACAGGAAAATAGCTAACAGGTTTACGGAGGATTAGTCACCAAGTACACTACTTCTTTTTTCCTTTTTTTTTGTCTTTTGCAACAACAAACGATAGTCCTTGTGACAGTTCTGCTAAATCAATTTCCGCATTTTCATATCGATCAAGCAGTGTACTGATACGCTATTGTATTCGATCTGTCTTTTTAGTTTTTGTCTTGTTTTTGCAGCTGCTTGTTGTTGAAGCTCCGAGTGGCGAAAATGGACCTCTTCATCTTCCAAATGCTGATGATTTCCCGTGAATTTTAAGAATGCGAGATTCGAATCTGTATGTACCTTTGCTGAACAATCATCTTCTTTACATGACCAGTACGTAGTTGCTACGGTTTTCTTGTTGCATCGAAATATATAAGAATCAAGAAACAGCAATTGGTTTCCTTTGTTACTCTTAATAATGGCACTGCAGAAGTTACCATGTTGAAATTAGTTTTCGACGGTATAGATATTTTATAACAAGATAAAATGAATAGTTAAAGGCCCGTATCTAAATTTCAGAGACTGTTGTGTTTCTGTCCGCCCGCTTAACAATAGTTAAAGAATAATTTGTATAAATCTATCGAACCGAATGGACTATGATCTATACTTATCGATGTCTCCTCATCAACAGAACAGCAAAAGATTTTCGACATTTTGCACTTTCGAAGTTTTTGTTTTCTACATTTTACCTTTTCTACATTCTACTTTTCGATCATATCCATTCTGCGTTTTCACTTTCAGTGTTTTCAATTGTCCACCAAAGGTATACATGAACTAATCGTAACTTTTTTGTACGGTTATTGAAAAAAAACGAAAGTGTTCCCCAAAAAAATCTGAGTCGTACATTTTGTAGCCCACACTTCACTGAGGCCCCGCAAAAAATTTCCCAACTAGCAGACGCGAACTGGCTGAGATATTTCAGTAACAAGGTCAGTTTCTAGCGCTTGACAGGATTTCAACGGAATCTATGCAAAATACTCGCCAGAAACAAACTTATGACATACCATTCGACTCGTCTTGAGACGAGCAATCTAGTGAGTCTACTAGCAGTTGATATAAGGGAAAAAACGCAA